TACGTGTCCGACTTGCCCGAATTCCCTTCGTTGGAGGCTAAAAAGGAACCAATTAATACAATTAATATTCAAGCATCACCGCCATTGAGTCAGCCTGCGATCGTTTCGACGGAAAATATGCAGGAACGAATCGTCCCAGACACCGTTAACAAGCCAATAATCGGCGTTCGTTTGGAGGCCAACGAGTCGAGAAACAAAGAGCAGCAAAACCCTCCACTGATCAGTGTTACCGATACCAGTTTCTTACCGATATTCACAGAGCATCCAGAGAACGTGATTCTGAACATCGTCCGTTCGGTTCAGCTACAGGCGGTTAACCTAAATCTAAAAACTACTCCTGTTTCTTCAACCAAGAACCAGCAATTTCTCGATCTGATCAACGAGCAACAGCTGAATATCTTGAATATCGTCGACAGCCTTCTACCGGAAAGTATACGACCCGAATTCGCGAACAAGTTGCTTGCGTGTCTTCGACTGAACAACTTCTTGGTGTGCACCAGAGACGTGATCTGGCCAACGTTATCGATGTATTTCCCCTGGTTGCCCGGCTTCCCAAATTTCGGCCCTATAATAACCCCTCCAACCAACGGCACTTCCACCGTCTCTGTGAAGAGGAACATGACGGAATCCAGCTCCGTCAAGGATGCCCAACCGCTATCGGAAACCGACGTGAAAACTGGTCAACACGGAGACACCACCGTCACTATAACGGACACCAGATTTTTCCCAATCTACAACGAGCTTCCCGAGACGGTGATAATGAACATCCTGAGAGCTGTACAGCTGTCCCTTCCGAATCCCCCGAGTCCGTCGGTTCCAGCGAGGATACAAGAGTTGGCGAATATCCTGACGGACCAGCAGATCAACGTCTTGAATACCGTGGAAAACTTGCTGCCTATCGCGTCCCGTTTGGACTACATCAACAAGATCGGTCCTTGCCTGAAAGACAAAACCTTCTTGGAGTGCACCAGGGACATCGCTTGGCCAGCGATCGGCCAGGCTTATCCGTGGCTGCCGCGTTTCCCGAACTTTGGAGCCTATCAGAACATGCCCAGGATCAGATTCCAGGTACTAGTGACCGAGAAATCCAAAGGATCGAACATAGAAGCCCAAACGTCCCAGGACAATTCGAAGGACGACGACGTGTGGTTTCAAGAGAATATGGGGAACATCGAAAATTTCTTGCTACGTTTACCGGTAAGTCCGATGATCCAGCAATCGTATCTGAACACAAGCAGTCCAGATGTTTCCCAGTTGAGCGAACGTCAGGAGAACCTTATTAAGCTGATCGAGCGTGTGATACCGGATACGGCTCGGGAACCTTACATCTCGAAGATGCTGGAATGCTTGAAAGGCTATAATTACGCAACCTGCACTCGGACCATCAGCTGGCCCACTCTGAAGGAATACATACCATCATTGCCGGATCTTTCTGTCGTCAACGAGTCACGTCCACAATCGCCAGATATCCCTTCGCTCACTTTGGAACCGATTACCATCGAACCCGATGGTTCCATATCCCGCGGAAGGAGCCGTGGATGCGCAGCTTGACTCTCGATTGGAAAACCAAGGAACACCAGCGTTTACGCCGTCAGTAGGTGAATCTATCGTTGGTTCCGAGCTTATCGAAGTGATTCGAGTGATCTCTGACCCCGTTCTGATTGCAGATAACGATGGAGCGGTCCCCGGATACGCAGGTCAACCACCAGGAATCCTCATAGACATTTCCAAGGAAAAGGTACAGTTGCCCGACGTTGACCAGCTACGATCATACACGAAAGAGAACTTGAAACCAGAAGAAGCCAGGAACAGGAGACGTAGGAGCGTGGAATTGTCGAAAACCTATTACGAGACCGACGAAACGTTCATCGATCCCTCGAAATCCGCTTCAACGTTTCCAAACATCACGGAATCCGATTATCTTCAGCTTCTGATTCAAATCAGACAGAACGCAAGATCAGTCAGCAGCGGTGGCGAGGCTTCTTTGGAATCGAGGGAATATTTCGTCGACACTTTGAACACCACCGTTAGAAGTTCTCTGACCGCCGATCAGTACGAGCTCCTAAAGATCGTCGAGGACGTGGACCGAGCATCGGGCAAAGGACTCGCTCAACAGGTCATCCAGTGTGTCACGGGTCTCAGTGCCATCAGATGCCTCGGAATTTTCATTTGGCCTCTGATCATCAGCAATCTTCCGTCTCTTGGCGGTGGTCTGCCGTCCCTTCCGAGCCTCGGTATCCTTGGACGCTCGTTAGACACCGAGAATCAGGTGCAGGAATTCTTCGGCATGTCAACGAGCGAGGTCGAGAGTGAGATGCTGGAACGGAAGGACTCGATCGAGCACTTTCTACTAGACTGGTACAAGACAGTGGTCGAAGAGAAATTCCAGACGAACGTGGGCTTCTTGAAGATCCGGGGCTACGGAAACGGCGAATTGGGTATCAGTTTCTCCGGTTTCCGAGAGGGTAGAGGCGCGAAGCTCAAGGACAATAAGAATCTTCCCAGTATACTGACGATCATCAGCGATATCATGGAAGAGGTCCTCGATCAGCGTCCCGAGAGCGAAAAAATCAAGAAAGACAAGGAGAAGAAAGAACGGAGCATAGATATTTCGAGGGAGGGCGATATCCAATTTTTAAAGGACAGCGAGGAGTACGTTGATATAAAAAGATCGATGAACGACGATCAAATCATCACGATGTTCCTCGATAAAATTCGGTCGAACGATTCCGAGACGGACGGAGACGGCGGAAAGTATTTCGATCTGGAGGATGCTTACAACGCGTTCGGGGTTCTCTTCGGCCCCCGACTGCACAGTCGACTCGCCCACAAATTACAGAACTTTGACCATCGGTTGAGATCCTTGGAGGAGGCCAGATCCAGCGATACGAAGAAGGAAGTGGACATCGTGCCCTTGGAATCTCAGAAGGAATCCGACGAGTCGAAGGTTCCGCCACTGAAGACCCAAGTGGCCCACGATTTCGAGAAAGAGTCCTCGAGAGATCAAGAAGAGAGGCAAAGGCAAAAAAGGGCCAAAAATTTCTTCAAGTCTCTTATAGAGAAGCACCCGAACAAGTATCTAAAAGACTACGTCGAAGAGAGGCTCCAAGACATCAAGCACAATAAGATCGTCGACGATGAACAGACGAAGGAGAAGAAGTCTTGTCTGATCGTGAAATTGCCGCGTCTGGACGACGAAATACTTTCGAGGAAAATGACCAACACCATCGTACACCTGGGCAGGGCTATGAAGAACAAGATGACGGAGATGATGCCCGGAATCGGGCTGGCCTTGTCCTTCTTGCTTCAAATGGCCGTGGCACACGCGCGGGCGGCTGCATCGATGGCTGGAATGATCAGTAACATGGCTATGGGTTCGGCGGTTATAGGAATGATTCGCGATTCTTTCTTCGGCGCGAACAATCACCCTCAGATTAAGTACGTTTACGATAATCACAAGACGGGACCGGGTATCTCCTGGCCCACCAGTTATGGGTCCGATTATAATTATCACGGCATGGCATAGCGGAGTAATGAAAATTCTCGTGATCGAGACGTTGAAATAAATTTGGTAACTTGTAGCGATAAGACTGGACGGTGATTTCGGGTGGATGCCGAATTGTTTTCAAGACTCATTTCTCTCCGTAGTATGAGGGTTTTAGGGTTAAACGATAGCGACTATACTCTCGTAGAATGGTATAATTGTAGTTAACGCACGGCACTTGGTCCACTAGTTGTTAAGAGGGAACTGGATCGTTTCCTTCGAAGGCTGATCAACAGTGAACCTTTTTATTGGGCTAGCTTTAATTTTCTTCCGTGCACGGCCGAGGCGTCAACAGCCGGGCGGCGGCGCGTTCTCTTCCATCTTCATCGATATAATTATCTACGTAGTACTCGTTAGAAGCACGGACCACAGAGACTCGGTTTTGTAGTTAGGAACGGAATAACTCGGGTCCTATTCACACTTCGTTCATTCCTATGGGATTTTGCGTACGGGTGACGGGTTGCAAGTTTCTCCATTTAAGCTATTCTCACTTCTTTATCGATCTCTATTATATACTCGACGCGCTCAATGATACAAGAACGTTACGGTAAGCCGGGAATATTGTAAAACCCGTTAGTTTCTAAGACGGCCAGGCGGTTCATTCTACGTTTGCGAAAATAAACGTCTGGGAAACCAACGCCACCCTCTCGTCTCTTTCGGCCCCCCGGGCACACGCTTTCAAACGATAATTCCGCTCCCAACCCTTTCTCCTCGATCCTCCGGATCTCCAGTTCCTTCGGATAAGCATCTCGAGATGCCGTGGAACGTAACTACGTGCTCGTTCCGTACGGTCAAAGAAGAGGGAAAAAACGAGAAACCCCATGAAGAAAGGACTGTTATTGAATTCTGCGGCCCGCGGCGATCAGGAACGCGCGTTGCGAGCGGGGCGAGGAGGCTTCAAGGACCCGAAGGGGATCTCGCTTCGAGAGGTCGGGGTTAAGATAAGACAGAGATTATTCTCGGTTCGCGACGATGGTTTCTCCCTCTCCCCTTCCACCTCCATTGCTACGCTTGTTTCTTTATTTACTCCGTTTTTGTTTACCGGGAACTGCACACGAGCGGCGGTTGCAGCTGAACGCAATAGAAGCCAAGTAGGATCACGTGATCGTCCGTTGAACCCTTTCAGGATCGAAGGGTATCGCAAAAAGAGAAGCCGCGGTTCTCTGTAATTTCAAACTGCAATGTCTTGGCGAACACGGTCGTTTATTTAAATACTTTTATATATCTCGTGTGCCACGCCTTTAAATAGATTTCCATGTTTACGAGGTATGGTTAGAGCGGAGAAGAGAGCAAAGGAAGGAGCAGTTTGTTCGAACTGAATGTGTTAACGAAGTTCGGTGTTCACGACAGAGAATTAATTCACAGTGAATGCTGTGCTCCGAAGACTTTAACTGGTTTGCTTATTTATTCGTTTTAGATGGAATAGCGATTCTAATTAAATTGAAATTAAAACATGTCACGTTAGCAGGAGGGGCAGAACCGACGGAATTTCTTCCCTTTCGACCGTCCTTGTGGCATTTTCTTCTGTCACTTCGATGGAATACTGTAGCTCGTTCATGTGAAACCTGAAAGAATTAATCATCGAAAGATAACTATTAATACTGCTGTTAACGAAGAGCATAGTAAATGTAAAGCACCATTCGTCGGCATGTTCGCAGTCGAGCAGCCCTTCGTCCGTGCAGACTCGTTCCCTTTGATCGAACACCGTATTATTCGGACAGATCACGGGAAATCCATTTCCCGAATCGTTGCACGCGTGGAAAACTCGGCAATCGTAATCCGGGTCAGCGTACAGACCGGTCGGTTTCCCTTCGCAGGTGAATCGAAACGTCAAGTTGCGAAATACATCGAAATCGTTCGATTCCTCCGACAGTTCCTCGTACGTTTCCAAACGCTGTCGATCCTGTCGAGAACGAAGACTTCTTTAAATGCGATTCATCGAGAACATTTACCTTAGAATTAACGATAAACGAAACTCCTTACGACGTAACCCAGAGTTGGTAAAGCATCGATTGCGATCATCATTCCTACGAGATGATAACTGTTACAATTTTCCATCAAAGTATATTCGTGGTAATCTGGTACTCACGAAGTAGAAGAATCAGCTTTAACAGCGACGAAACTTCCTGGTCCATACTTCAAAGTGGTCAAGTAGATCCGGCGACACCTTTCAGACTGATTTTCAGTGCTCGGCTGATCCAGCAGCTATTTTACTGACACTGTCGGTTCGTAAACCGAGAGTTGCTCGGAGAACTTATCGACCTCAATGACCGTGTAATTTCTCGTTCTGCGATATAAACGATGGTTAATCGGGATATCCGGTTCTCTCGCTTCTACTTTGATGTTCGAATAATTGTTTAATTTGTCGAATAATTTGTTCGATATTTCACTGGAAACGAATCATTCTGGAAGTGAACAAAATTTACAGATCATTCAACGGTCGATAAAATTATTAAACGTACAAAATATCTAGAACGATTGGTGGAAACTATATCATCGATCGGAACGCTCGATGTAAATATTTCAAGGTACCAACAGATGTCACTGAACGATGAAGAAGTCGGGTAACCATACGTTCTAAGCGACTTTCACCTGCGTCGACCAATAGCGGTCGTCGTTCTCCAGGTAACTTTCTTCTACAAGAGAATCGTGCCTTTCAGGAACGTAAGTTAATCCAAAAGACGCAATAAATATTTACAAAAATCATTCCTTAAGGAGCACAGAAAGAATGCAAAAATGATGATAAATTTGCCGGACCTTTAACAAAAGTAAACGAGGCTGCCAGCAAGCGAGACCGAATCTACAATTATGTCCTCTGAGAATGATAACCACAAGATAAGTTTCGATGCACGGCCCTGGAAGCCAATGAACCAATCGAGCGCAACCTTAACGTCCCATACCCACAGAAATATTCTCGGTTTAGAATCGGAGAGTCGCGTGTCCACGAAAGGACAGCGCGTATCAACTGCCAATGAGGGAGGCCACGCTTCTCGGTCTGCCTTTCTCTTTAGCTCCGAGCCACGGCTCAGTTTTCACGGTAGCCTCATCCAGGAACCACTAGCAGAATGTCTTGAACGCAGAGATGTGGTGAAACGTTTCTTTCGTACGTTCCTCTTCTCCTCCTCTTCTTTCTCTCTGTCTCTTCTGGGTCCTGTCCATAACCGACGACCCAGGGACTGGTGCAACGATGAATACGTGATCCGAGGACAAGGTCGTCCTTAAAAAAAGCAACGACTGTCATCGTGCTTTCGGGACTGTTGCTGGACCAAAGTGAAACAAGAAGGTAGATATTACATTCTAGAGAAACATCATACTTACAAAACCATATTCACTTTGTTTCTTCGTAGCTGTCCGATTGTTTCTAAACATCGTCGACGATAAAACTTCGTTTTCTCAATCGATTCGTAACTTGAATCAACGAAAAATAGTTCGTTGATATTTTCAACTAACAATTTCGGGAAAATTCCGAGGAGAAACGGGTTCGTGTCGTGCGTCATAGACCGTTCCACGTGCGTTCGCACGATCACAGCCGAGGTGGTGATTTCAATGCGTGGATAGAACCGCGTTTGCTCGTAATTGCCCTGTTAAAGATCACCGTCTCCTCGCAATTATTTCATTTTCACCGACAGTCTCTCCGTTTCGTCTATTTTTTCTATTGTAGATACGTTTAGTAATCGTATTGGAGTATAACTATACGTATTAACGCTATCGCCGACGAAGATTCGATCGCGTCGCGTTCCCGGAAAAAAGTCGAATTTTTCCTAACACACTATACCACTCTCGAAACCGCTTCTGCAAGGCCAGCTGGTGAAACGAAAATATCCTTGAGCTCGGTTGATGCAGAAGACGAAAAAAAAAAAAAAGCAAGAAAACAATCTCGATCTCGCAATCCTATTTTTGTTTCTCCTCCTTCCGATTCGTCCGCGTATTATTCGAGAAACGACGAAGGAGAAGAGTTAACAATTGACATTAATCTTAGATTCATCGGACTTTCCCCTGCGGCGTATAAGTCATAATAACATTAATTGGCCCCGGAAAGTGGAGCGTGGTTTATTGTATTTTCTTCGCGCATCAATTATTTCACCTGTGCCACGATCGGAGAACGGAAACCGTCTTTCTCACGAGCCTTGGATCTTTTCCCAATTATTCCCCCCTCGATGGCGTCTTCGACGACTTCGCTGCTGAAGGAGAGAACGATCTATTCCATCGAACCGCGTGCTCAGATACAATATACTTCACAGTTTCGACCGGGTTCTCGGATTTCTCCGGTTCCAACGGACACCCAGAAACTGGACACGAAATACCCGAGGTGTCAAACGTGGATATTACGTCAGCAGAACCGGTGCAAGGAGAAATCTATTTTTCAAACGGAAGCTCGATAGACCAAGTGATTCGGTTCATTGCTTACCGGTAAGGTCGGTTCGAAATAAGTGAAAGGAGCAAGTGTTTTCGTTCGCGGTGGTGCAGCTCTGTCGTGCGTTCACGCTACATTCGCAAATATAATCGTAATACCGAAAGAAAAAAAGCGCATCGTTGTTCACGTCGTATTGTTCGCGATCAGCCTACAAAGGCGTATCGCGAGTTCCTTTTTCCGTTCTCCGGTTTCGGGTTTCGCCGAACAACGGCCGCCTTTCCGGTACATTTGGCAGTATACAGATTGCGCAATCCCGTTCAAAAGAACAAAATTCCAGAAACTTCCTAGAAAGCATTATTTCGTACAGTAAACGACGTGTTTATGGTCGGCTGTTGTGGAACGTTCGTATTATACTCGGAAGGTTGCATAAACCGGCGCAGTGGCGGCGAAACTAGACCACCGACGCTTTTCTTTTTACCTTCTCGCTCGTTGAATTACTAGATTACTGGAACCGTAATAAACCAGCGGCGATTCGTTTCGCAGGCCAGTGGGCCTCGCCACTTACAGTTCGGTGTGTGCGTTCGATCGCGAAGTTCGTCTGACGGTGGCGAATGTAGCGATTAATTCGCATTCTTCCTCCGTTTCTCCGATCTCATCGACCTGTTTTCACGGTTCTCTTCAAGGCCATCGTTCACGCATCATCGATACATCGAATGAAAAAAAAAAGCAACACTCCGATCGCCTACGCTTTTCTCTCGCGCGCATCCTCTGTATACATATAGTAAAACGCTAGTTGCCCACGATCGTGCAACGGTTTAGTCGGGACGTCTCGTTTCTAGACCGCGTCAAGTTCTACTTTGTTTTCGAAGGAAGAAGAAAAAAACTTCGATCGTCTGACAAGCCTCTTGTTCGTGCCGTTCGCTCACAGCGATTCGTACGTGGATAAGCGAATTACCCTGGATTAGATATTCCAATTACCTACGGCTCGCGGTTTCGAGAGCACACACGGAGAACGGTTTACGTTTAGAGGCCGAATCGATGCCCGCACGCAACGGGCCGTTTCCTCGTCGATCTGCGCAACGCGATAGAAAACCCGCTAATCTCGTAGAAAGTATTTGCATTCGAGCATCGCGAACAAAACCATTTCATTTCACTTTCCGTCTTCAGAATCTGGCCTGGCCGGCAGAAACGCGCTAGAGCGTCGACAGCCCTCGTTCTTCCCTTCTGAAATTACATACATATATCTCTCTGTCCGCGGTGCAATTGTGTACAAATTTTATATTAACGCGATTACATGTCTGGAAGAATGTCAATCAAATCAGAATTGTCAGCGGGGATCAACGCTTAAACAAAAATACATACGTATACATACATACATGCATACATACACGGTGAATAACAGTTGTTGCACGCGATTCCTCGTAATTCGCGTCCCGCAACCGAGGAAGCAGCGTTGGCAACAACGAGGTCATTCGTCTCTTTATGACTTCTTTGTCTCTACCGGTTCAGCGGCGTCGTCCTCGGGGCGACGATCCTCGGTCGAATTAGTCGCGCCTGCTGCTACCAACGAAGGCGCCCACGAATAATTTCGCATTTTTTCGTAGACAAACGTCCCCCACAAACGTGTCGATGTTCGCGTGTGGGACGTTGTTCGTGGACCGTTCGTCGACCGGCCAGAGCCCACCCTTCCAAAAACCGTCGATGCGTCACGGTTTTGCTAATCGAGCACTGGAAACAAAAACATGTACAGTCGATCAACTCGGGAGGGATTTCGATTTCGAATCGAGGAAAATTTTAATTGCCCCCGGCTATCTATAGGATCGTTATCGGGCCCTGCGAATCAGCTGTCGGTGCCAACCGACCGCGCAGCGAAAGCTTTCTCACGTTTCGCGAAACAACGCGATTACAAGAGGAGAACGGTGACTAATAAAACTTTGTAGCATAATTGTAACCGTTACACGGCTTCATCGCGGGGGAAAAACGCGCCTCGATCGCGGCATGGTAACGAGTGTGTAACGCGTTAATTGAAACGGGGGTTATTGTCTGTCACGCAGATGATACTTCTTTTCCCGTTGTTGTGGGCTTTGGTCCTGCCGGTGTTGGGTGGATACGTTCCACCCGGGCCACGATTCCGATGTCCCAGGGAGATCAAGTACATCTACCCGTGCGTGTGCCTTCGAGGCAGCGACAGGGGTCTGTACGTTCAGTGCGAGAACACCAATCTGGCCAGCTTGAGTTTGGCCTTCTCGAACCTAGGCAACGAGGGACTGCCCATCGAGGAACTCGTTTTGTACAAATGTAACATAGGTAACGTGTCTCTGAATGTAAATTTCCCTCACGGCACCTTCTAAAGTAATTACAATTGATAAAAGAATGATTCATGCGAAAAGTTAGTTCGGTAGGATAAGGAGGAAAGAAGCCCCTGAGCTTTTCTTGTCTATATCTACAACTTTTCTCTGACACGTGTCTTGATATAATCAATAATCGAATAATTTTTCACTTTGAGTGCATTTAAGTAATTCTTTAAATGTTTAAGGGCCCAGTCGCTCCTTTTCCCTTATCCGATCGAGCTCAAACTTCGCACAGATTGTTTTTCTACTAATTGGAACTACTTTGGGGTATGGATAAAAATATTTAATGGATAAGGAAGAAATCTCGGGAAGAAGTTTCATCAAGAGGAAATAAGAGCCACTCTAGTGTCTCTGGTTATTTCGCTGAAATCTATAGGTTTGGTTTCACGAATTACACAGGACGTTTCTATGGGCCGGCGCTTTATCCGTTGGACGTACGAGTGTTGAGGTTCGTCGACACACCGTTGCGACTGATCGAGGAGCACAGCTTCCTCGGCGTGAACAGAACGCTCCAGGAGCTGTACGTGGTGAACAGCACGCTGGAGAAATTCCCGCGGGAGGCGTTGCAGATACTGGGAAATCTGAGCATTCTCAGCATCGCCGGCCATCGAATGTCCACGTTGCCGGCGGACGGATTCGCGGAGAGTGCCGCGGCCGCGAAAATTGAGAAACTGGAGATTAGTAACGGTACACTGGTTTTCACGAATGGAAACCGCAGGCAATTGGATTTTCTCCGTGACTTTCTATTTCGCTTTTTGCAGGGACACTTACCTCCCTGCCCGTGGAGGCGTTGGCGCCACTGAAAAAGCTAAAGCGGCTGGATCTCCACGGGAACGAGATCAAAGAGTTAAAACGGAATCAGTTCAAAGGGTTACGGGACACCGAGTACTTGGATCTGTCCCACAATTTGATCAACAAACTGGACGGCTCGCATCTGGCCGATCTGACAAAAATGGGCTGGTGTAATATGTCTCATAACGCGATCTCTGACTTGAAGAGGTACACATAATATCCAGAACTTTCGATCGAATTTCATCGATTTTCGTTTGATCGACGTGTCTGTTTCTCCGGTCGTAGAGGCACCTTCGCGAGGAACTCTCTGCTAAAAGTGCTCAATTTGAGCCACAATAAAATCAGGAAGCTTGATTCGAACACCTTCCGTGGTATGCGGTTCTTGGTTAGACTGTTTTTGAGCGACAATCAGATCAACGACGTGGGTAGGGGGACTTTTGGTCCAGTCACGAGGATAGGAACCATCGACTTGGCCAGGAATTTTATCAAAAAGATCGACTTCCAGATGTTCAATCAGCTTCAGTTCGCTGAGGTACGAAGAGACTTTGTTTCGCCCAACAACATATTTCGTCCACTCATCTGTTCTTGCTTCTTCTTAGGTGCTGGATGTCTCGGAGAATTTTGTGACTGTCGTGGAAAAGTTGTCTTTCAAGGATCTCTATCTGGCGAAGATCAATCTTTCGCGCAACGAGATCTCGAAAATAGAACCGGGAGCGTTCGAGAACTGCGTGAACATGACGCTCCTAGATCTGAGTCATAACAAATTGGAGAATATATCGAAGTTCTCGTTCGACAGCGCGACTTACGCAACCGAACTACAATTGAGTTACAACCAATTTACCTCTCTGAATCAGGTATTGTTCGATGATCTACGGTACCACGAACAGAATCAAGGAGGATTAGGAATTCTCGACACTCCCACTTATCGTTATTCGTTTCAGGTGCCGCTACATAACATGACTGGTCTGAAAGTTCTGAATGTTTCTCACAATTCGTTACATTCGGTGCCTCGTCAGACGTTCCCAAAGTTGTACGAACTCCACACGATCGATTTATCGCACAACAATTTGTCAGAGATACACAACGCCATCTTTCAAACATTGTTCAGCCTTCGGTTTCTAAACCTATCGTACAACTCTCTAGAGAAGATCAAACCATCGACGTTTGGACCACTGCCAACGCTTCTCGATCTGGATATGAGCTACAATCAATTAAACGATGTGGCTCGTGGTAGCTTAACCAGACTACCAAGTTGCAGGTAATCAATGGTTGATCATGAAACGTTCGATCTTGCAACGTAGAAGAAACATTATTAATAAACGATCATGGTGTATCGATTCCTAGGAGCCTGACAGTCAAGAACAATCGTTTAACAAAGATCTTCCAGTTGCCAATCTCTTTGGCCTCTCTAGACTTTTCCGAAAACATGCTGGAGGAGGTACCCACGACTGACGTGTGGCCTGCGATGAACGCTTTGCTTTCGCTGGATCTTTCCAAGAACCGATTGGGCGACAGTCTGAAACACGGCAGCTTCGAGAATCTGTTGACTCTGAGGATATTGAATCTGCAATCGAATAACATCACGAGGCCTCCGTGGGAGGCGCTCAGTACTCTCAGTAGCTTGCAATATCTTCATCTAGAGGTGATAGAGGCGGACAAAATTATTCCTTTGTCGTTTAGAGTGTATAAACCGGCTAACGTACTAAGCAAGAGTAACAATTTTAGGATAACCAGCTAACCGAGCTCGGAAAATCAGCATTCGGACGCCTGCCGATAGTGTTCGAGCTGAATCTTGCCAAGAATCAGATTCGAAGCGTCAACAATCGAGCCTTCGAAGGGTTGCTGCAATTGCTCACCTTGAACCTAACGAGCAACAACCTCGAACACATTCCCAATGGAGCGTTCCAGGGTCTCGTCTCCCTCAGGACGCTCGATCTTTCCCACAACAAACTGGAGAGCCTGGACAACAAAACGCACGGCCTGCTGGACGATTGCCTGTCCCTTGAGAGAGTCAATCTCAGTCACAACAAGATCTCGTTCGTCACCAAGAAAACATTCCCGAACGATCCATGGATTCCTTACAGGTTGAAGGAGATCGATCTCTCGTACAACACCATGCCTGTATTAACGTTCGAATTGACCATCGGTGCGAAGAAGGTCCAAATCTTGAACATCAGTCACAATACCATTAACGATGTACGAAGATGTGAGTAACGAACGACGAAATACGATGGACGTGCTCTCAGCCCGTCTTATTTTTCATACGTTCTCTTTTGATCCTTCAGACGTGATCGGGAATCTGTCGGCACTACAAACGTTGGATCTCTCTTACAACGAGATCAACGACCTCTCCGAACCGGACATCTTCGACCCACCGGTGAATCTGACTAATCTGCATCTGAGTCACAATCGTCTGAGTCATATTCCCTTGAATAAAATTCTACCGCTACCAAATCTGAAGACACTTGACGTGAAATCCAACATGATCGGGGTGTTCGACGAAGTCTTTATGAAGATCATAAAAAACGGGACTAAACTCGAGTATTCTGGTACAGGAAACCGCGAGGGAGATTCGACAATTACCGGTGGAACAATGAGTAACCGACGAAATACAATTTTTTCAGGGAATCCGTTGCACTGCGACTGTTACGCGAGACCTTTGAAGAGGTGGCTGAACACACACACGGAAATACCAAAGGAATGGTCGAACGTCAGCTGCCAGAGCCCGAATTTCCTCGCCACGAAACTGATAAAGGAGATCACGGAGGACTTGATGGGATGCGGCGAGAGGGAGGTGAAAGAGTATCCCGAGTTCGACATCACCCCAGACGTGAAATATCGAAATATCGAATAGTGCGTATCCGTTAGCTTGGGATATCGTTCCATCTAAGAGGAGGGAAGGGAACCTACACATTCACGTTCCTAATTTCCAGCAACGAGGACGACAAGAGCTGGAAGGCGACCTGGTACGTAACGTCGCGAGAGGACATTGGCGATTTTTACGTGGTGGTTCGTGAGTCCGGGAACAGCAAATCGGCCATCGAGAAGGATCTGGTCTACAGCGAGCGATCATTCAAGATCCAGGATCTGCAGGATTCAGGGTCAAAGTACGAGCTATGCGTTCTCGCGAGAGACTCCGAGGGGAACGTGAAGCACTTCCGAAGTTCCCAGTGTCAGATATTAACCCAAATATTCTAGCGTGACGGTAGAAGAAAGGAGCGTGTCTCGCGACATCGGGGATTTATTCTTCCTCGTGACGACCTGTTTAAAACGGAGGCGCCATGCGAAAATACGGCGGCTCCGTGTTTCGTTAAGGTCCCACGATTAACCGTGATAAATAGCGACCGCGATCGTAATCGATGTCGCGAGCGCGGATCGTGGCTTGTACATAGGTTCTATGGTTACCAGTAGGCATCGCGAAGACGTTGAACGTCGTGTATTTATTTTTGTAAAAATATACTCTCCGTCCAATAGTTCCCGGAAGTAGTTGTTCGGAATGATTCTCCCCGGATATCCTGATCTCGACGAGACGAATTCGATGGGGATCGAGCACGTAGTAGATCCTCGAGGGGACAGAGACAGGAAGATTGATCGATGGAATCGAAGGGAGGACGCCGAGAACAAAGGGAGCGGGAATAATTTTCTGATCGTTAGGTAGCATCTGTGGAAGGCCGAGACGATTAACGGACAATTTGTCTTAATAACTCCGCGGCGGCTAATCCCACGAGCCTAATTCCTCGTGGCGCTGTTGTCCTGCCGCTAATAAAGGCGTTTCTCTCGAGGCTCCGTGTACTGAAAAAGTTCTCAAGGAAGTCAACGGGCTCGCGCGTAACCAAGATGATTTCATTATTCCGCGGCTTTATAATTAGCATCCACGGTTATCCCGGAGGAAGAGGAACGGGCCACTCGGGGTCTTTCTAATGAGGCCGAGGTCCCGTGGAAGTTGTCGCTCCGATCTCTGGATCGTAGTCATCTTCTTCCCCCAAGACATTTTAATCGCAGGCATGTCACGAATCGTTTCGAGCATTATTTTCCAAGTATCTCTCGAGGATTTCGAGACGAGCCAGTTTCGTCGACGATTAACGGGACTTTGAATCGGCAACACTAGCGGCGTACGTGATCGTTATCGGGTCGACGCAAACGAGGAAAAAAAAACAGTCGACCCTCGAAACATCCGTCTTCCGCGCGAATCCTAGTCGAGTGCGTGTTTAACTTTTGTTTCTACGTGTTTCTTTAACAGATGAATCCTTCGGTTTACACTAGCATGGGAACAGAAGAAGAAAAATGGTAAACGTAACACAAGCATAACGCTCGCGAGGTATCGCGCAGAATTTGTTATTGTCGTACGGAAAGATGTAATGCAAGAAGAAAAGTTCATCGCTGACGTGTTATGTAGACTAAATGAGGTAATTAATGGATCGTGCTTTCTCGATGCTGTCTGAATGGAAGCCTGATTTTATTCAGATTACCCATGGTACACTGTTCGAGAGTCCTAGAGGCCGAAGAAACGGCGCAAGACGGTCGTTGCGCAATAATAGCATCTTAATTGGCAAGTAAATCGTATATCCACGAAGATCCAGGTACGACGAGCGACACAGATCCATCCCGTTTCTCGAGACTAGATAGTTGTCAATTGTGTGTGTGTATGTATCAACCGCGATCAGACCGCGTGATAAGCATGGATCCACGATAACTCGTTACCGGAAATGTTGTTCCGTGCGATCGCTTTAATTATCGAATATACTATTTCGCGAGAGGCAGTCGCCTAGGAGCGGAGATCCAATTAGCCCTCGAACCGTGGCGGTCGTTACGAAGCCAAACGATTTCACGTCGGTAACGTAATCGGTATCGGTTGGCTCGTTACGAAACCTCCTTGGACACTTTCACCTGGAGGTTTTAACGATGGCGGTGGCTTTCGTCTAGGTACCGTACGAGCGCGCACGAGCGTTCACGAACAGCTACGAAGAGGGCAGCGTGGCGCGGCGTTCGCGAGGCTCCACGCCACAGACATCCGTTTGTCTGGCCCCGGTCGGACCATAAGGCCCCCAAGGCTGTTCAGCCTTCGGTCGAATAAATTTATGCGCGTCCCTTCCTACGGTCTCGAGCGCAAAGACGCGACGACTAGGCCTCGGTTTCGTTGACCCTGCTGATCGGCTTCCCCGCCTCTCCGCCGGTTAATGCAATAATTAATTATCGACAGACCGTCGTGAGCCATAAATCATCGATCTCTTCGGGTTCGCGAACCAACCCCGACCGGCCTATTGATTTACAATTATTTATTCCGGTTTAAGTTTCGTCCGTGGCGTGCGGATAGCTATAAATAGAACTGAACAGAGAGCGACTCTCCCGGTAGATTTCCAAGGGAAGATTCAACACGGTAAACAGACGACCAGTACCTAGTCACGGATTGGCCGAACAGCATTTACATAGTCCACATTGGGCAGTGAGTCACGCCGCGTCGTCCTCTCGTGAATCTACACGCCCACGGGGACTAATTGTCCTTCCAGCTCGCTTCCACGAGAAAAAAAGATTCCGCAGGAACCATAAATCATGGCGGAAATATGGACCCAGGTCTATCGGACCTAAAATGTAGGGCTCGTTAATGCCGAAGCAGTTATCCGTGTATGTATAAGGTCGGTAGGTAGGGAGAACGCCCCCGTATCTTAAAGATCGAGGAACGATCCATTAAGTCATTAGGCCGTAGATCGTCTCGAACCAAATGCTATTTTGCATGCCCTGAATTTCGAAAACTCTCTCGAATATAACCTTTCGTTTTAACGAATCAAAGTTATGTATGATAGTTTCTCCTCTGATATTCCAAGCAAAAGTAACATCGATCATTATACGTCTGTGTTCAAGAGATAAGAATTACAACGATAGGCTCCGAACAGCACAAAAAATGTCGAGGAACCGATGGATTTGTGAGAACGAACGGTTAAAGGGTCCCTTGCTCGCGAAGCAGCTATATGTATACATACATGTATACGTATGTACCGGCGAACAGACACTCACGTGCGCGCCGTTAAAAAGATATTGCCCCGTTCCGCGTCGACGTCCGGCCCCCTTGGGCCCGGTGTGTGTCGGTGTACGGTTCGAACTCTCCCGCCAGTGGCTAGGGCCCCCGTCAGTGTCTCTCGCGTTCTCGCAGGGGGAACATCATCGGGTCTGCTCCGCGTCACCGCGCTCGCTCGTTCGCGTTCGTTGCTTCGTCCTTCTCGATCTCGTCGGGCCCTGTGCGTTGCGTGTGTGTCGGTGGGACGGGGCGTCGCGCGTCCCCGTAAAGAAGAGAGCCCCGCGATTTCGCCTAGGACGCGCGAGGACAAGCCGAGAAAACTGGTCCTCGGGGGTGAAGCGCCGGAAATCCAACTAAATGCGACTTTTCCTACGTGTAAACCGAAAACTCCTCCGTTCCTCTTCCTTCCTCCCCCTTCACCCTCCCTTCTGATACCCCCTATTTTCTCCTTGATTTTCTCGGTTTCCATCGTCGAGTGTGCCTCCGCGGATCGAGTATCGAAGTGGACATGGAGTCTAGATTCTGGAGACTGGCCCTCTGCTGGATATGTGTCCTGGGCTCGGCGCGGGCGAACGGTGAGTGCATAAACGAAACAGTTTACAAATTAGTTTCCGATTAAAACACCGGGGAAAACGTGCCGTAAATTTCGAGGTTTCCCGAAGCGTCACGTGGATGGTGGATTCAAGGTCGACAGACGTTCACTCCGTCCATCGCGCATCGCATCGCGCGCCCGGCTAGAACTCGCTTGCCTGCAACCGCTGCTCTCCGATCTCACGGATCTCGCGTTCTACGTCTTTCCCGGAATCCTCGCGTCGGGGCTCGGGAAAATTGTGCGAACCACGGCGGGTGAATGCCAGCCGGACTATTCTCAGCCACGCTGCGCTTAGGGTAATCGTGGGTTCTTTTGTTGGACGGTTGACGGAAACGATGCACACGCGTGTATAGGAAGCGAGAATTAGCTTCGAACGATTAGGCGACGAGGTGCCGCGTAGTGAAATTGTCCGGGGATCGAGGTACGGTCAGATTCTAGCCTAGGATAATGTCGAAATCGTTGGTGTACAGTAATCTTCGATGAGTGTGCGAAGGCTTCACGGTACTGACAAGAATGTAATAATATTAGTTTCAACCACATACGGCCATTAGTTTATGAAACATTTAACGTTCAATACCGAGGAGCCTCCAAACACTCATCGAGGATCTACTGTATTCGGTTGATTGACTAGTACGTACGCGAAACGAGCGTGAAACGTTGCGTGGCACTTTCACGAACGGAAGATTGCGCAATAGGATCTAATAATACCGCGCGAACGCCTCGACAATCGTGTGATTTAATCGCGAACAATAACGTGGCTAGATGAATCACGCAATCCCCCGTCGATCTCGTTGTTCAACGGCCATTGCGTCACCTTGTTCCAAACAAGGCGAACGTTGGTTCAGGATTTCGAGCGACAAAAATGGAAGAAGCTGCGTTTTGACTGTATACATATATACTGGGAAAGTTACTCACGAATCGGTACATATACACTACCGGCCATAGGATCGGAGCCCATGATTGATGGAACAATAGCTACTCAGTTATTCCGGTACTACGTGAAAAAATTCACGGAACCGATACTGTATACAAATTATGTCCAATCAGTTTTAACCCACTACTTTTATCAACTCTTTGTAGGATAATATTTTTCTATCTCTTTAATTATCTGATCTAATCGCTCATACTTTTGGGCGGTAGTGTATAATACATATAATTTCCGCAAGGTAAAACCACGGCCAGCCAAAGGGAATAGATGGATGATTGGATGCTCTTTGATCCAGCCGTGCCCCGTTTTTGCGAAATCGAACCGGAGGACGTATTGTTCTTGATTGCTTCCTCCTAGAGCGATTCGCTTCTTCGTGTTAATTCCTCGGCGGCGGGCTTAATGGGCTGCTCCGATCGTGCGCTTTGATCGGGGGCCGGTGATCGATTTTATTCCCTCCGTTTCTCTGCACCGCCGCGGTCGCTATGTACTACGAATTCTCGGTCCGCGAGTCGCGGCGAAATTGATTAACCGGCCTTCTCCGTTCGTCCGTGTAATTGAATCGGCGTGGGTAGCGAATCCCATCTCCTGTCGCGTGTAGAAAAACAGAAGCTCCTTAGAATCGCGACTTGTATAGAATCCGTTTGTTCCACGAATTTTCTGGTCCC